AAGAATCAACAATCAATGGTCATTAATATCCCTGAATATCAATGGTCTTAACTCACCTATTAAAAAGACACAGGCTAACAGAATGGATATGAAGACAGAATCCATCCTTCTGCTGCATACAAGAAACACACCTCAATTTCAAAGACAGATGCTACCTCAAGGCTAAGGGTTGGGAAAAGACTTTCCATTCAAATGGACGTAAGAGGCAAGCGGGTGTAGCTATCCTAATATCTAACAAAATAGACTTCAAACTAAAATTAATCAAAAGAGATGAAGAAGGTCATTTCATATTCATCATAGGAAAAATCCATCAGGAAGAAGTTTCAATTTTGAACATATATGCCCCAAATATAAAGGCACCCACGTTCATAAAAGAAACATTACTACAACTCAAATCACACATTAAACCCCACACACTTATAGTGGGAGACTTCAACACCCCACTCTCACCACTGGACAGGTCCACCAGACAGAAACTTAACAAAGAAACAATGGAACTAACAGAAGTTATCACCCAATTGGGTTTAACAGACATGTACAGAACATTCCACCCAAACAAAAAAGAATATACCTTCTTCTTAGCACCACACGGAACCTCCTCTAAAATCAACCACATACTTGGAAATAAAGCAAACCTCAACAGATACAAAAAAATTGGAATAACCCCCTATATCCTTTCTGCCCACCATGGCTTAAAATTAGAATTCAACGTCAACACAAATTGCAGAAACCTCACAAACTCATGGAAATTGAACAATGCTCAATTGCATCTCCCCTGGGTAAAGAAAGAAAGAAAGAAATCAAAGACTTCCTAGAATTCAATGAAAATGAAGGCACAACATACCCAAATCTTTGGGATACTTTGAAAGCAGTTCTAAGAGGAAAATTCATAGCAATAAGTGCCCACATGAAGAAACTGAAGAATTGCCACACTAGAGAATTAACAGAACACCTGAAAGCTCTAGAACAAAAAGAAGCAAACTCACCTAGGAGTAGATGCCAGGAAATAATCAAATTGAGAGCTGAAATCAATAAAGTAGAAACAAAGAAAACAATATAAAGAATCAGTGAAACAAAGAGTTGGTTTTTTGAGAAAATCAACAAGATAGACAAACCTTTATCAAACCTAACCAAAAGACAGAGAGAGAACATGTTAATTAACAAAATCAGAAATGAAAAAGGGGACATAACAACAGACACTGGGGAAATCCAAAGAATTATCAGGTCATACTTTGAAAATCTGTGCTCCACTAAATTGGAAAATCTAAAGGAAACGGATGATATTCTGGATAGATACCACTTGCCAAAATTAAATCAAGAACAGATAAACAATTTAAACAGATCTATATCCCCTAAAGAAATAGAAGCATCCATAAAAATTATTCTAACCCAAAAAAGTCCAGGGCCAGATGGTTTCAGTACAAAATTCTACCAAAAATTCAAGGAAGAGCTAATACCAATACTCTTCAAATTGTTTCACACAATAGAAGCAGAAGGATCACTGCCAAATTCTTTTTACAAGGCTATAATTACATTAGTAGCCAAACCACACAAAGACCCAACCAAGATAGGGAATTACAGACCAATCTCCCTCATGAACACACTGCCCCAAAGTCACACTTTCTAATAGTTCCACTCCCTATGAGAAATAGGGCCAATTACATTCATACTATCACATTGCTACAATCCTATTTACCCCTTGCAGTTCACCCAATAAACTATTCTTTCTACTATGGTCTGAAGGCAGAAATCATGCTCCACATACAAATCCTTTTCCTGTGACTGCAATAGACAGTCAACTACATGACTCAAAACTCTGAGGTCATACAGTCACTTAATTTAAGAAGGGGTAATCAAGAGGACAGCAAGGTCATTGCCCTGGAAAGCAACAGACTGGGATCAAGGCCACGTGTGTTAACATGAGAGAGCTTGTCTCAGAAATCTTTTTCTAAGCCGGGCGTTGGTGGCTCACGCCTTTAATCCCAGCACACGGGAGGCAGAGGCAGGCGGATCTCTGTGAGTTCGAGGCCAGCCTGGTCTACAGAGTGAGTTCCAGGACAGCCTCCAAAACAATACAGAGAAACTCTGTCTCGAAAAACCAAAAAAAAAAAAAAAAAAAAAAAAAAAAAGAAATCTTTTTCTAAAAGGCTGGAAGTGCAGCTTTTCTAGAATTAATATGCCTTTCCAATGAGAAATATCTCCACAGACTTAAGAGGTTAAAAGAAGGAAAATCTCTATAATGATAGCATGCATCCATTTCTGGCTGATGCTCAAAGAGGACAGAGCCTAAAACAGATTTTTCTTTTTTCTTTCCTTTTTTTTTTTTTTTTTGAAACAGGTTTTCTCTGTGCAACAGCCCTAGTTTTCCTGGAAATAGTTCTGTAGATCAGGCTGGCCTTGAGCTCACATCGATCTGCCCGCCTTTGACTCCCCAGTGCTGGGATTAAAGGTACACCACCACCAGCACCTGGCTCCTAAAACAGATTTTGCATTACACATATGCTGTCATCTTTAATTTCTTTTAGGTTCAGACTCCAGCTTACACTGTGCAGAGTTTAAATAGTGACAGGAAACTGCAAGTCAGGCCAGTTAGGCAAAGGAAAGACTTCAGCAGAGAAGACATTATCATAAATACTTCATAGTACAGGAGTAACGTGAAGCAGCACATCATACTTTACTGACAGGTCCTGAGGTGGAGGTGCCAGAAGATGAGAAAATTAAGAAAGTCAGAACAAAGAAAAGATAAAAGCTGGGGCAGCAAGGTCTTGATTATGCTATGTCTTATTCTAACTAAGCTTCTTAAGAGGAATAGCTTCTTGTATGCTACTTCCATGGACAAATGGAGGAAAATAGGAGACTTCTAGGAAGTCAGCAGAAATTATAATACAATGGGACAAACTCAAGAGAAGGTTATGCAAACAATGCAGCATAAGGGGAACACAGGGTATCCCAAGAACATTACTATATCTCACAGTGGCCTTGGGACTGATAACCGCAGCTCCATGTGGTGGGTGTTCTCAGGATCTGAAGCAACCCTTCCACAAAAGCCCCTGCTCCAGACAGTTACATTCTCACCCAAGCATCTTCCTAGTTTTAATGGAGGAGCTCTATTTTATTCTGGATACCTCAGGGCCTGATGGAAAACTCCTAGGCCTAGATCCCAGGCTCTTACTGGCTCTGTCAAGCATGTTCCTGGGTTTGAGAAGGTGTCATGGACCTAAATAGAAAGTCTTGCTTGCTCAGGTGAACCCTTAACACAATCGTGTGTTCATTTTCAATTAGTAGTCAGCTAGTCTCATCTTGCCCATCTGGCAAAACTATGACTTTCTCTAGAAGAAAACTGTACTGGGTGGTGGAGGCCTATGCCTTTAATCCCAGCACTGGGGAGGCACAGGCAGGAGGATCTCTGTGAGTTCGAGACCATTGTGGTCTACAAGAGCTAGTTTGAGGACAGCCTCCAAAGTCTCAGAGAGACCCTATTTTAATCCCACCCCCACCCAAAAGAAAACAGGACCTTTATGGCACACCATGCCCTAATGTATATTATGACCCAATAATGCCCCCCTTGATCAGTTTGTAGAATCCCTGTTCTATGATATGGGGATGGACCTAGCATTTTTTTAAATCAGGGATTTCTCCTTTGTCATGGAGCCAAATGTCTGGATGATCCTGGAGAACAAATTTGTATTTTAGCATCCTAATCTCTAACAGGCCTAGTTAGCATACTACTTATCTTTGGGTTATTTTAGCGGCAGCACCCCTTAGTTCAGTTCTATTTTGTGGGACTCACTAGTCCCTAAGAGTTGGTAAATCCTTTATATCAACAATTCTACTCTTCCACATCAGAGTTTAATAGTGGAGTGTGATCCATTTACAGGCATCTTTTGTGTCCCATGTCTTTAATCCCAGCACTAAGAAGGCAGAGGCAGGCAGATCTCTATGAATTTGGGGCTAGCCTGCTCTACAGAGCAAGTTTCAGGTCAGGCTCCAAAACTATACAGAGAAATCCTGTCTCAAAAAATAAATAAATATAAAAAAAAAGAAGAAAAAAGGAATGCTATTTACACCATACACAAAATTTACTCCAAATGGATCTTACACCTAAATGTTAAATGTGAAGTGCAGAACCTCTAGAACACACTAGAGAAACTAGACCTCGCTAAGTTTGGCAACACAGTTCTATGTGCATCAAAAGCATGTTGGTGTTTGTTGGGGACTGCTAGAACCCTGAACAAAATGGAGTCTGTCAACCATTTCTTGGCCTTCTGCTTACGTGACTTCGAGCACACATGCCCTTGAGACAAAGGAAAAGGCTAACCATAAAAGTTAAATTTACACAGGGCAGCCCACCCGCCTAGCCAGGGGGAAGTAACCCTTACATGTCTTTGTTAACAAAAGATTAAAGTGTTCCGTTGAATACTTCCTACCCCTCCCTAATTCCTGCACCTGACTTACGCTGACAAGCATTTGTGGAATGCTACTGATGACTGATGGAAAATTATAGCTTTGTCTTTACCGTATTTGGTGTATATTTGAGTTGAGACTTGATTGACATGCTTGTACCACCCCCTGAGGGTCTTCCTCTATAAGTTCCAGCTCACCCCAAAAATAAACGCTCTTGATCAGCGAATGTTGTCTTGAGCCTGTTTCCTTTAACCTCTTGAAGTTTACTTTTAAGATCGGATCTGCTCGTGAAGGCCCACCAAATTAGTAACGACCCTCATCACCTCATCCCCGCGGGTCGGGGGTCCCTTCCCGGGGGTCGCAGGTGTTGACTACAAAGATGTTTCTACACAAAGCTCCCTGATCTAAATGCTTTCCACAGATGAAGTATTCATAGGGCTGCACCAGGGTCTGGGAAGTTGCTAGGACCACATGGGACCTCACAAAACAGTGAATGTGGAGGCAGGTTCCCAACCAGGCTCCGGGAGGGCCTGCCACACCATCTCCCATGCCTCCCCATTCCATCTCCCCAAATGGGACAGCAACCCCTCGCTCACCATGCTGTGGCTTCCAGGTTCATCCATGCTCCCATCACAATCCCATACATTTGCACTCACAGCACAGCAATCAATCCACTGGCGCCTGTTCTGCGGTAAAACCAAGTATACCGCATAGCTCCAGGAAGTGTCTGGCAAGACTTGTAACTGGCAGGTTGGCCTTGTGATCCTGATTGGCTTGTGAGACTTTAGCGACAAGAACACTTCCTTAAATTTAGAGTGTGCTTAAAGGCACAGCACAGGGTTCCCTGGCCCTGGCTTCTACTCCAGACCTGGACCTTTTAGAGATTTGCAGAGACACGGATTTCAGTATCACTTACCCCTGTCTCCAGTAGATGACTCGGCTCTCTTCCTGCAGTTCACAGGTACATCCTCTTCTTCCTCCTCCACAAAATGTACCTATCTTGCACAGACTATTATACAATGCAGACTGGAATGATATTACAAAATAAAGAGAGATTTTTAGAACACAAAAGATGATGTTTGTGCCGGGCAGTGGTGGTGCATGAATTTAATTCCAGCACTTGGGAGGCAGAGGCATGCAGGTCTCTGTGAGTTCGAGACCCGCCTGGCCTACAAATTCCAGGACACCCTCCAAAACAAATGAGAAACTGTGTCTCAAAAAACTAAGATGTTCACGCCTTTAATCCCAGCACTTGGGAGGCAGAGGCAGGCGGATCTCTGTGAGTTCGAGGCCAGCTTGGTCTACAAGAGCTAGTTCCAGGACAGCCTCCAAAGCCACAGAGAAACCCTGTCTCGAAAAACCAAAAAAAAAAAAAAAAAAAAGAAAAAAACCAAAAACTAAGATGTTGCCGGGCGGTGGTGGCGCACGCCTTTAGTCCCAGCACTCGGGAGGCAGAGGCAGGCGGATCTCTGTGAGTTCGAGGCTGGGCTGCACTGATAGCCTCCAAAACAATACAGAGAAACCCTGTCTCGAAAAACCAAAACAAAAAAACAAAAAACAAAAAAACAAAAAAAACAAAAAAAAACCAACAACAAGATGTTTGTTCTATGCATTATTGCTGAGTTCACAAGCACTTCAGACAACCATGAGAGAAATACATGAACCATATCACCAACAAGTCACCAATAAGATGATATATCTTTTTCCTTCCAGAAGACTGAGTGATAGCTCCATTATATTGGGAGTTTTATTCTTGAAATTCATGTCAAATTCTTGAGAAATGAATACTAATAAAAAACGTAGTCTTTGCCAGGTGTTGGTGGTGCATGACTTTAATCTCAGCACTGTGAGGGAGAGACAGGTGGATCTCTGTGAGTTCGAGACCAGCATTGTCTACAAGAGCTAGTTCCAGGACAACCTCCAAAGCCACAGAGAAACTCTGTTTTGAACCCCCCCCAAAAAAAAGAAAAGAAAAACTAAGCCTAGTCTTCATGGTAAGTTGAATACCCAGCGATAATAGAGCTAGGAAGAATGCCTTTATGAGTACCATGGTGACCCAGCACATCTTCCTCTGTGGGAAGGTGAAAAACACTTGCAGCATTCAGTGTTCTCTACTTGAACAGGACTGGTATAATGAATCTCTCTGTGTTAGTAGAAAGTGGGTTTATTAGAATGTCTCACAGGCTGTGGCCCAGCTAGTCCAACAATGATTGTCTACCAATGGAAAGTTGAATAGTCCAGTAGTTGTTTAGTTAATGAGTATTGATGTCTCAGCTGGTCTTCAGCATACATGAGTATTTCAAAGAAGTGGGCTCTAAAGCTATTAAAAGAATAAACTCAGTAGCCAGAGCTAGGTAAAGCAGGCAAAGAGAGAGAGTTCTCCTTCTTCAATATCCCTTATACATATACACTGCCGCTAAAAAGTGTGACCCAGATTACAGATGGATTTTTTCTCATGATTTTTTTAATTAATTAATTAATTAATTTGGAGACAGCATTTATCTGTGTAGCCCTACATCACATTCTGTAGACCAGGCAGGCCTCAAATCAGGAAATCCAATTGCTTCTGCTTCCCGTGGGCTGGGATTAAAGATGAACACCAACATCAAACAGTTAAAGGTGGATTTTATCACCTTCGAATATCTAGATTAAAGATATGTGTTCCCATTTAAAACCTTTAATAAGACAATGCCTGCCAGGTGGTGGTGGCACATGCCCTTAACCCCAGCACTTGAGAAGCAGAAGCAGGTGAATCTCTTTGAGTAAAAATGCTAACCTGGTCTACAAAGCAAGTTCCAGGACTGGGTCCACATCTAATGAGAAACCCTGTCTTGAAAAACATAAAAAATATACCACAAACAAACAAACAAACAAAAAGCCCCACCTCGTTGAATTTTAGGTAATTCCAGAGGTAGTCAGTTTGACTACCTAGAATAGCCATCACAACAACCAAGACAGAAAAAATGAGTAAGATTTCTTACCTCAGGTGACAAGGAGACCATGGGTGTAATTTCCAAAGCAATTCTTTTCCTAAACAAGGAAAGCATGGGGATTTTACTTAGGGAGTCCAGCAATGTTACTGTGGAGTTCTCCCTATTTCAAAGCATAGTCAGTCAACAAATCTACTTCTGAACATGATCACTATGTAAAAGCAGAAATACTTACAAACATTTTTATCTCAGGGTTCACCAAAACAAAAGGAACTGTATTGAAGGGTCACAGAATTAGGAAGGTGGAGAACCACTGATCTAGAGGCTACCAAGTATGACCATATCGTACTGGAGGAAGCTAGCAGTCTCTTTCACACTTGGAAAAACTGAATCCAACATATGTTCAACTATGTTCATAGCAGCATTATTTGTAATAGGCAGAACCTGGAAGCAGCTTAGATACGCCTCAACTGAAGAATGGATAAAGAAAATGTGGTACATTTACACTCAGTGGGGAAAAAAAATGGAATCTTGAAATTTGCAGGCAAATGGATGGAATTAGAATAAACCATCCTGAATGAGGTAACCCAGTAACAAAAAGACAAACATGGTATTATTGTGCCAGGTTTACAGAATCCCAGAGACTAACCCAAGGAGTCAACACTCTGATGCAATAGCAAAAGGTTTCATTTATTGCTCATCTAGAGAGCTGGATCTCTTTCCATGGTGGAGGAAATGCCCATCAGCCTAAGAAAGACGCCTTTAAAGGGGCAGGGGCAGACCATGAGGTTGAAGGCCATAAATTTTAGTTTCCATGGTTACTTAAGATCATACAAAGTACTGAGGCAAGCAGTAACTACATATTTTAAGCAAGATACATTTGAGCAAGATAAGACAGGGCATGGGTTTTCAGTGTTACCGGGGTCATAGGGTTTGTCAGGCATTCCCTGGGTGGGTGTTGGGGACTGCTAGAACCTTGAACAAAATGGAGTCTGTCAGCCATTTCTTGGCCTTCTGCCTACGTAACTGCGAGCACACATGCCCTTGAGACAAAGGAAAAGGTTAACCATAAAAGTTAAATTTACACAGGGCAGCCCACCCGCCTAGCCAGGGGGAAGTAACCCTTATAGAGCAATTGTCTTTGTTAACAAAAGGTTAAAGTGTTCCTTTGAATACTTCCTACCCCTCCCTAATTCCTGCACCTGACTTACGCTGACAAGCATTTGTGGAATGCTACTGATGACTGATGGAAAATTATAGCTTTGTCTTTACCTTATTTGGTGTATATTTGAGTTGAGACTTGATTGGCATGCTTGTACCACCCCCTGAGGTTCTTCCTCTATAAGTTCCAGCTCGCCCCAAAAATAAACGCTCTTGATCAGCGAACGTTGTCTTCAGCCTGCTTCCTTTAACCTCTTGAAGTTTACTTTTAAGATCGGATCTGCTTGTGAAGACCCACCAAATTAGTAGCGACCCTCATCACCTCATCCCCGAGGGTCGGGGATCCCCTCCGGGGGTCGCAACTGGCACCCGATGTGGGGCACGAGTTACAGACCACCGATCGGATGGCAGATGTGCGACGAGTCCGGAGCCCACTCATAAGGCGTCAGGTAAGCCCCATCCGGGTGGCGCAGAGTAGGGTCAGTCTAATAACCTAGGTTAACACCGCCGTCCCATTCGTCCCGAGAAAATGGGGACTAATATAGTCCTTCACTGACACACAGGGTCAAGTCCAAGGCTAGCCATGCCTGCACTATCTGAATCCTCGAAACTGCTAAAAATACATTATTTGCACGAGAGTCAGAGATGGAGCACCCTCTGACATGAAGTTAAGTTGAGAATAGCTCACCAGGTATGGAAAAATCAAACACATAATTAACATGAGAACAATACCTTTCAGTCTTGTGGGTGGGCTCCATTCTAACCTTATCTCTTAAAGCTCATGCCAGACAGAAGAACCTGCCTCTGCTTCCTTTCCTGTTCTCAGCCAACATCTTTAATGCATTTAATTCACTATCATCTATCTCTATCTTTCACTCTCATTGTTTCAATGTAAAGATGCTACGTGTGATATAAAAAGTAATAATCTTGTATCCAACTTGTAAGAAGAGTGACAGATGTCAGCGTTTACATATGTTTCTATATTTCTCCTTGTTTATACTAACATGCACAAGTATCAATAGGAGAGACTCGCAGGGCTTCCTGGTCAGCAATCTGCTTGATATCATAAACTTCACACCTGCACAAGTTAATATAGATGGAACCACCCGACACCTTTTAGTTGGTACAATCTATCCTACACTATGAACATATGTAAGTGATGTATCCATCCTCTCAGTGGTGAATCTTTGGGTTATCTCTGCTTTTACTACTTCAAAAGACGCTGTGTTAAGCATCTTTGTATGGGTTATCTTTATCTATTTTTTCCTTTGGATTGCTGTAATCTGCAATATTTTTAAAGGATTTATTTACCATTTTTATTTCATATGTGTGAGTAATTTGTCTACATGTATTTATGCAAACCACAGGTGTACAATGACTGTAGAAGTCAGAAGAGGGTAACAGGTCTGAAACTGGAGTTATAGATAGTTATAAGGCCCCATATGGGTACTAGACACTGAACTCAGGTTCTTTGCAAGAGCAGCAAATGCTCTTAACCACTGAGCCGTCTCTCCAGTCCCCTGAAATCCTTAATATGCATAATTCCTCTAACCCCCATATATCTCAATAACAGTAGCTAATAAATACTAAGCATTTATTTATTTACAACTTTTAATCATCTCATTTAATCTTC